ATTAGCAGAAAAGAACACTTTTGGTGATAAAAGCTATGAGAGCGATTGTAGCAGCAAGGAAAAGAATGAAAACCCTGTTAAAACAATTGAAATCCTTGTTAGGCCCGGGCGAGCTAACGATACTCAGAAAATAGGAGAATGAAGAGTGTTGCACTGATCTAGCAGAATGTACTGACACCATTAAACGTGTACACTATCGAATCAATTATGCTGACTGCCGAAATCAAACGAAAATGAAGAATTCATCTGAGGTCGGCGAAAAGCAAAAAACATTCCGGAAGGTAAAGCAGTACGGTATGACCCAATGATGCTGTGATTGTGTGAAGAATACTGTTTAATGGTAACAATCAAAGTGAAATCACCACCGATCGTCCTTCGTTCTCATCAACCTAAAATCAATGATTTGAAATCACGAATTTGTCATATCAGTGAATAATATTTCAAATTGCATTATTGATTCGCGCTAAGTGATCATCGATGTCATGAGAATTAAAAGAAAAGTTCTCATTTGGTTCGTAATAAGCAGTGATTGTTGATTGAACGAATCAGCAAGAAAACATGCTCACAGAAACACTAAAATAGGGAAATTTTCAATTAAATTTCATGAAAAATTCGATTTCACAGAATAATTTTATGTGTTGCTGTGATTTTACAGTCGATTAGCATTTGAACGAAATTAGCATTATTTTGTCGATTCGGTGAAGACAGATTGAAACGAGTGAAATATTATATTCATTCGAAATATATTTAATGTGTTTCGTTCTCGTTGAAATAAAATTGTGTTTTCTCATAATGAATTTTAATGAAAATTGGAGACGGGAAAGCCGAGGAGGAAAATCACTTAAAAACGCTTGACAGTTGACGGAACACTTCACTGTTGTGTGTTGAATCTCGAAAGATACAGTCCAGATCAGCAATGAGGCTGTATCTTCTCATTATTTTGTTTCTTCAAATCACACTCATATTCTCAACATACGACGACAACAGCAACAACGCAAGCAATTCTTCTCTACTGATTGATGAGGTAGGTTCACTTTCTGATTTTTAATCACTTCTTCGAAAGGTTTTGCAATGATCGGTCATCAGTAACCGTAAGTATCGAAAGTCAGGTGCATATGTACATGCTAACAATAAGCATAGGCGAGAAGTGCCTTGATCAGAATTAAACTTTGGCAAAACTCGAGATCAGACAGATGATATGGTGTATGCTGAATTTCTGATGTGTTAAACAAGATGGAAAATAACTGAAAATCGATCAGAGGCTAACTAGGTAAGACGAGGAATGATTGAAGGAGGATTTTAAATGGGATTTGCGACAGATGAATGCACTTCTCGAACACTTCGGCCGGCCTCTCGCAATGTAGATCTATTTGATTGCACATTTCAGAGAACTTTCATTGCATTTTAACTGGCGTTCGCTCATTGTTGATTTACAAGTTAATTTCCCGATCAAACTTTCGCTGCATTTCTTCGATTCAACTCCTGATGAAATCTTGTGTTATTCCTCTCGACGAATCTATTCCAAAAGACTTGCATTATTATTGTATCTCTGTAATGTTGGATTATCTCTGAATGTTGCTTTTCAAATTAATTAATTATAATGTCCTTGTAAGTATTCATTATTATCCTCAAATAGGCGTAATGCAAAGTTGTCGATTTTACTGTTGATCGATGAATAATTTCTCGTGTCTAACTTTTCATATTGTATCTATCTTCTCTGACCATTTCAAACTGTTTTCTGAGATCAGATCGGTCGCTTCTCGTGGACTTGACTTGACGTTGAACATCTGTTGTTCACCGAAAATACTCAAGAAAAACTATGCTCCAATGTCGGCATACTAGCTGCCACTAGTTTTTTTGGTCATTTCTCGTTGGCAAATCGACGAAAAAGAAGGGGCGATAAACGATCATCGCACTGAGAAACGATTGTGGTATAAATAAGCGAGACGAGGTGAAACGAACGATCTGAGATGATCACAAGACACGATCACGCTTTACACTGTGTTGAGTGAATGCATCAAAGTAGTAAGATTTGAACAAATTCGGCAATTTGATGAAGTAAACCAGTGTGATTTCAGGAATATGATGAAGGAGATGTGTTGCGTGAAAAACGACAAGTGGCGCGTAACTATCGTCGTGTCAACAGAGGTGGCTATAAAAATGCTCATCGACGAGCATCATCTCACTCAAAGAGTTCCGGCTCGAGTTCAAGTGCTCTTCGCGCCGAACAACGAATGAACATAGCTGATGAAGAAAGCAATGAAGGGGATGAAGAGTGGGCAGGTGCAGAAGCTGGGTTAATGACGAGAGGTGGAGGAGGGTTGAGGGGACGAGGAAGAGCACATCGTGGAAGGGTGGTGCATCGTCGACAGCAACACCATAGGAGGGGAAAGTGGCAATCTGGTGATAGGTACAGTGAAAATGAGGACAATTATGACGATGATCTTGGTGGGGATGTGCTCGTTGATCAGTCGGACAGGTTCAGTGTTAACAATAGTGTTGCTATCAATAGCCGGGTGAATGTCAACGATAATGTTAACGTTGATGTTGACGATAACGTTGATGTTGACGATAACGTTAATGTTGACGATAATGCTGCTCTCGATGACAAGGTGGATGTGGATGACAAGGTGGCTGTCGATGTGGATGTAGACGAAGGAATGGATGATACGTCTTATGAAAGCGATTCCGAATATGACGGTGATGAATCGCTGAGAAGAAAAAAGAAACGGTCGCGTCGAAGGCGTACGAAACCAGTAGCAGCGGGTCATTCCGTAAGGGCACGGGGACAAGTTCGGCAAACGATCAACGTCCACCTTCAAATAACAGATGACGTTCAGCTATTTTCAGGCGTTCAAGGGCAACTGAACGTGAACGCTGATGACAGCCTGAGTGTCTCAAGCGGCACCTCAGTCGATGCTTCCAGTGAGTTGTGTTTCACTTCTTATTTCAATTTTGATCATTTATTCAGTTCATTTCGATTTTCAGCTGTCGATCACTAACACTAAGAATTGTTCTCTTTCTCAATCGTAAATCATCACTCATAACAATCGTTCACTGAAACGTCCAGCATGAACGATAAGCTAAGCAAAAACTTCGAATAATTTTCAAGCGATCATCGACATTTTTTCAGATTCTTTCACTTAATTAATAGTTTCAATTAGTAACACCTTAACTGACTCAACAATTAACGAGTCAGTGCCCATATAATTGCTCAACGTTAGAAACGGGAATGCCGCTCGTGTTTGTTTGTAAAAATTGTGCTTAATTCATGTTGCCAATGATCTCTTTAAAATAAATGTTCACATGAGTTTTATGTTATCGCAAAGTTTATCCGTAAAACTTTCATTGCTATTGTTTATCACGCATTACATTTAAGAACTTACAATATAATAACATAATCACGCAGGTTTTCAGTCGCACTAAGGATTTCCTAAAACAATGTATCACTTCTTCTGAGCCATATTTGTATCGAATTTGAACAACCTAACTTCTGCACGTTATACATCAATATAGTACATTGTTTTCTATCGCTGTTCGCAGCTCAGTTACGCTGTTTGCAGTCCGGTGGTCCACTAATACAGTCGTCGCTTGCGCGGAGAAACTGAACTGTTTACAGTACAGGGCGAAAAATGCGTAGAATCATATCATTTTGNATCTGGATCTCAGCAGAACCAGACTTGACGTGCATTTAATCTTCGCTCAACTCAACCTTACACTGCACTCAAGTTTCAACAAAAACCACTGAATTTGAGCCTATAGTAACCTAAATTTTTGGGCTCAGCGTTTCGCCGAGCGCCAAACGCACGACAACAACTAAGCAATCCCGAAACGTCCTTTACATTAATTACGATATCACAATTTCCTCTTTAATCATTCACTAACTTCTTGTATATTCAAGAAATCAATCGTATATTTTTTATTTTCAAATGTGATTTTTTGCAGTTTGAATTGGCAGTACAAGCTAGCACTGAATGAACTGTAAGTGGAATTAAAACAAATGATTGCATAGTAGAGAATGAACAAAAACAAATTACTAATGTGAAATAATGAGTGAACAGCAACTGTACAATATACATGGAACACAAGACAACTCACTGAATATACAAACAATAAATGTAGTTAGCACATGAGCACTCTGAATCTTGAGAACAGAACAATCACTGACAGCACTTTCGATCAACAACGACAATAACAACAAGCACATGTTACACAGAGGATCACCGAAATAAATGGGCAGTGATGGCGCGAGGACACTTGGTGATAAGTCTCAAGTGGATTTATAATCAAATTTTAATCAAATCAGGGATAAATCGTCATTTTAGCTCTACCTTATCAACGTATGTATAAGTACAGCCAAAATGCGGCTAACTTCAACAAGAGTGGGTTATTTTAACGTGACAAAGAGAAATTAATCATATGCATTCTCAGATGACATATTGAACACAATTTTACATACAGCAGCAGATGTCACTTTTTGGGTGAATACTGCAAATGAAATATCTCAAAGCTGTTAAGATAATTCCCTGATATTCTTCAGAACGAAGTTACTAGAAACAATCACAGTAATTGCAAGAAGGCTGCAATGAATGAATCAAATCAACACTATCTATGCATATTCTTGTCGTTTCCGATAGAGTGTATAGAGTAAACTGCGAGCCGAATGAGGAATTTTCGAGAAGTCAACACCGTTGAATCGAAATCTTAATGTCGAACTGAAAATCACACTCAGATATTGATAACTCAATAAGTATTAAGAAGTTCAACTGAATATGCTGAATTAATATTGAATTAATTGATACTGAATTAATATTGAATTAATTGATACTGAATTAATTAATACTGAATCAATTAATAATTAAGAAGTTCAACTGAATTAATATTCATAAAGAAATGATAACTAACTTTGGTTGTCCAGCAACTTCGTATATGAAAATATTCGGTGATGTTGTTGAAATACGTACAGAACGAACTGGCTCTGAATTAACCGTTGTAATACTCGATATAATTTGTTTGCCCTGAAATATGAATGCTTATCCAACAATAATAAATGATCACTTTCGCTGAATTATTGGATTATTCAACGGAACGTGAAAAAGATGACTACTGATTTCATTGGAATACATCTATATACAATGTTCCACAACAATTCAAAAAAAACTGACTTGAGCATCGCGTTGTGCCCTCAGTTTATATTCACCTTCGCGTAACATTCTTGGCTTCAATAAATCCTGAAATTAACCAAATGACTTGTTATAAAGAGCATAAAAATTGGCAAAAATGAATTCAGAATGAAACGGCACTCATCGCAATAATTTATCGCTACTAGTCTTTGCAAATACCTAAAGCTTGAAAAAAAAATGCTCAGCCTTGCAAGTTCTAATCACCGTGCAGAAACCAAATGCTCGGAAGACATGAACTCGATCATTTCAT